TTAGTCTTAGTCAGGTTGGCACTGGGGCCTCTGGCCCTACCTCCATCTTTCTCTTTGGTTACCTCTACTGGTATCCTCCTACTATTGGCTGGTATAATACTTCCACATCCTCTTTTGTGGCCTTGGGCAGCCCCATTGGCCCTCTCTCCCGGACGGCTTTGGACTCTCATTTCGCCAGTACCTCCTGCTTACAGCAGGTGCTCTTTCCTTTTAGCTTCTCCTGCTCATGCTTGATGCCTATACACTCAAAATATATGTTTATATTACTTATTCGATGTTGTCTATTCACTATTTTGACTTCCTGAGGCGTAGATGGATCTGAACTAGTCTGTCTAGGAATTTAGCTTTTGTAGGTGAGGGATTGGTTTCGGCCTCTGGTTTGGAGTTTCCTTGATTGGGGTTTCTTTCTGTTCGGTGGGAGGTATACTGTTAGGATGGAGGATTTCCTTGCTTTAAAGATTGAGTTTCTTGGCTTTCTGTCTTTACTGCTTGTAGATATCTATGCGGGAAATTTGCAGGGGAGTTTTTTAAATCAAGGACTGGTTGAATATTGGTAGTTCTAAGCGAGACTCCTCTGTGTTCAAGTTGTAGGATCTGAGGATCAGACACCTGGCTGCTTGCTTTTGCCTTTTTAGGGTCAAGGTTTTTTTTTTCTGGCTGCTGGAGATCAAGGCAGAGAGGAGGTACGGGTCTACGTAGTGTAAACTGATATAACCCCTAGCCTTACAGTATGTAGAACTGGAGAAATAAATAAGATAATAATAATAATAATAATAATAATAATAAAAGCCCTCCAGTACAGACTTTTCATGCAACCACTTAAGTTCTTTCCTATACTATAAGTCGAATCAGTACTTTATCTACACTTTGTGCAATGCTATGTGAGAAAGAGGTCTCGCTTACAAGAGGTAATGCGAGTAAAATAGTATCTCCACTATCAGATGTGATAGTGAAGATAGGAGCTCACTAAGCTATTGAGTTGTCAAGGAAACGGAAGAGGGAAGGTTGTTACCTGTTGAAGAACTAAGTACTGAGGAGTAGGATCATTACAGTATTATAAGTTACCAAGTTGATTTTTTTCTTCTTCCTTTTTTCCTTTTTTCTTTGATGTATGAGGGGGGGAAGAAAGTAATGCGACACCCATGCAACACAAATTCCCGTATGGAAACAATATCAACAATATATAGTACTACCATTTTCCACAACCATATTCAATAAATAAAATGAGTAAAGGAGATAAAATTAAAAAATGCTTAGTATTTCCTTAAAGTAAAATAAAAAGAAAATCATAAATCAATAATGAGTTTGGTGCCCTTTTCTTCTAATAACCTCTCTGATCCTCTTTGGCATACTTCTGCAAAGATCCATAAACCTTCTATCAGGAATAGCTTTCCATACTTCCTCCACAGCTCTGATTAGCTCTTCCTTGCTTGCAACTCTTCCATACCTTTTCTTCAAGTAAGTTTCCATATCTCCCCAAATATTTTCAATTAAGTTCAGGTCTGGTGACCGTGGTGGCTAGGGCAATATATCCACCCCATTCCTTTTTCTACACTTTGTAGAATATCTGTGATTAAACTAGTAGTTAGATTATATTCTTAAGTAAGTATTTCTATATCAAAAAACAGAAAATACAATAATTCTAAAGAGATAGAACCTACTCTTTATACCCTGGTACACCATCTTCAACAACTCTAGTCCAACCAAATCTCTCACAACACTCATGCCAGAAAGGAATTAAAACTGGATCCAGAATATACTTAGTATACTTATAAGAATCCACTTTAACCTTTCCTGGTACTACCACTAGCTTTGACCTCAAATCTCCACAAAAGGCTCCCCATACCATAACTGTCTTCCTTCCTGACTCCCAGACCTCATCAATGCAATCCTGATCATATTCCTCAGAAGGTTCTCTTATCACCCCTCCTCTCTGCCCAAATCCAGCTGTAGAGAATGAGGTTTCATCAGTCCATATGATTCTGGACTAGTCTCTTAGTTTCTAAGCTCTTTTTCTCATACACCAACCAAATCTAATTGGTATATTTTTTGGGCGCAATCCCCATCTAAAATATCTTTTAGTTATGTAAACACTTGAATCTTCATTAAAGTACTTACTTCTTGCATAGTTTTCATTTATTTAAATTAAGATTCTTAGCTGCCTTCCTAATTGTCCTGGATGATGCCTTTAATCCTATTTCTTCTTTAATATCCTCCCAAGAGAGTCTTCTATTTCTTTTATTTTCTTTAATAAAAGACTTTAGATCAAGTATATCAGACTCCTGGAGGATTGGGGGTCTTCTTGTTCACTGGTAGTTGGAAGGACTACCTGTTTCCCGATACCATTAATAGATGCGAGCACAGGTACTATGGTGAACTTTAAGGCCTATTTTTTCCTCCAATTCGGCAGCTATCTTTCTGAAAGACCACTCCGCTATTTCTTGGAGAGCAATAATATGGATCCGGTCATCATGCGTGGTTTCCCACTCGCAGCGCTGTCACTTCTTCGTCAACGATCGCCGCCGCTCAAGATTTCGTGGACTAATCGCTAAATTATTTAATTTTATTATTATTTTAACTTTATTTCCATATTCATTTAATTAAACTACTTACGCTCACTTCTGCGGGTTCCCTTTACCCTCATAGTGCTTTTCTGAAATGGTTTAGCAGGTGGTGGGGGATATAGTGAGTATTGTAGTGATGGGGGTTGAGAGTAGAGTTGCGATCTTGTAGGAAGCGGTTGCTACTGTCTCGCACTACTTCTTTCCCCCCCCTCGTACTTGATAGCTTACTGTTTGATTATGCGAGTAGTCACTTAATGGTTTGATTGTTCACCTGCTTGATAAGTCCTCTGTTTATTCCTTTCTTCATTCACTTACTCACTTGCCCACCCACCCACTCTCTAACTCGGTGACTCATTCCGCTCCATACTGATTGAATTGTTTATCCACTTGATTGTTTTGGTATCTAATTGTCAAATCAGTCACTTTCTTGAGATCCTAACTCTTTGTTTATTGAATTATGAATGCTAGTCGAATATATGCTTACTCCTCTTTCTGATTGAATCGAGTGGTGTAACTACTCCGGGTATTTGGTTTCCTCTACTCCCCTTTTTTTTTCCATGATGTCAACTGTACGATTCCCGAGATCCACCGTTCCAATCCCTGTTTTTTCTCGATTTTTACTTCCATCTCCGACTACTCGAGTGCGGTATCATAGATACTGTGGGGGAGGGGGTATTTCCGGTCATGGGGGATTTCCAAGATAGTCACATCGGTATGGTAGTAGAAACTTTTTGGATACAATATGATTCTGGGCTACTCTTTTGCTATAATACAAGAACAGTAACGCATAAAGTTGAGCTCTGAATGGAGAACTTCCCTCCTCGAAGAAATTTAGTTCTCTCTGGGACCCTCGCCGAACCAACACTCACCCTGCAAACAGCCTCCGCCCTTGCGTGATTGGGGAAGCAACCGTGATGGATATCTAGTACGCAACAAAGCATATTACCATAGTGGTTCTAAATGATTCTATAATCCCCTCAACTCCGATTTTTAGCTACCAGTAGGGTATGCTATATGCATTCATACTACCTTTAAGTGCAATCGCGCGCTGTCCTTCATTCACCTCAAGACTGAAAGTACCTGTATCAGATGCCTGTATATTTGTTTTGTCATGTTGAGCTCTGATAAGGTAACATCCTAGGCGCAAATCTTGTCATTAGTGATTAATATGAGACAGGATCACAATCTCACTTTCGTTGATATCATCTTCACTGTAATGATTGTACTAGTACAATTATCTTTCGACAAGTTGAGCCTGATGTGCTTCTAGGTTCAAGTAGGATTTCTATCAACACTGCCGTAAAAACTTACTAGGCCCACTATCTCCCATCGGCCCTGGATCTCCCCGATCACAGACAAAACAGCCTGAGAAGGAATGGTGTTTTCCATATCAGGTATTGCTTGGGAAGGCTGGGCTTGTTGGATCTGATTAGCTGGTATTCGTCATTTTGTTATCCTACTCTGCTAAGACTACCGTGGTTCAGATGGTGACTTCCCTTAGGATCCCCGATACGGTAGCAGACTTAGACAAACGAGTTTTTACAGTACCCCTACTCGTACTGTGAGAACTGGAATATTTGAACACCAGACTAGGACATTGGAGTTACCTGTTCTGGTAAGGTGCAATACTTTTTTATTATTTTTTTCCTGGTCTTAGGCTGAGGCTGGGGGTCAGTGTTTGTACTTGTGCTCGTGTACCGTACTCCGGTATTCGCAGTGTTTTTGCCCCACTACCAGTATCTAGGAGAGGGAAGCCTGGACGTCTTGGTGCGAGGTTAGATTATTATAGTTCTTGTGGAAATCCGTACGACGAAGGCTCACACTGGGGCCACCAGGCGAGTATTTTGGGGCAGTTCAGGTGCCAAGCATCTGGGTGCAACTGTTCGAGGGCACAAATTCAAGGCTGAAAGGGAAAAAAAAAAAATCTCCCCTAGTGCTGTACTTGTGGTATAACTCGGATGACACTCCTGGAGAGCTCACTTTAAGTTAGGGTAGTTCTTAGGATTCTACTTCTGCCGCAAGTGCATGCCAGCTCTGGGCCATTATTCTGAAAATCTAGCTCTCTCACTGCAACAACGATGGAGAAACATGGTGACCGCTACCGGGACTATTGGTATGATACATTGTATACCTATTCACAAATATGTCCTTTGCCCCTCATCTGATTGATGGCGATAGGGCTCCGGCAGATGTTGTTCTTGGCTCCACGTATTCGGGGCCCTCACAAAATCCAATAGCGCAAATGTCGGTAAATTTTACGCCTCTAGAGAAATCATACTGATTGCTATATAGGGAGACAGGCCTCGAAGCGGTGTCGGAGGATCATTTATCTTTTAGAGCGCCGCAAAGACCCCCGCGCCCTCCTCCAAGGTTAGGTTAACTAGAATCCCGATGCGGGCTGAGTTGGACTGACATTGATACTACTATAGACCACCAGGTTTGGAGTCAGGGACTTCGCCTTCTAACCCTCTCATGCAGCAATCACATCAACAGCAGCCGCAGTGGGGGGGTCTTGACAGACAGCCAGGTTTAGAGGCCACAGGCATTCCATTCAGGGTGCACCCTAATCCGCAATGGTCGCATATCAATACTCAGACCGCGAGGGCCACCTCCCTGTACGATATCCTCACCACCTCAAACTCGTTACAACTCTCATCTAACCCGGCCCGAGTGGGATAATAGACAAAGGGCCCAGGAAATGTGGGATCGGACACAAGCCAGGCGACCAATACCACACTACATGTATGGGCTCCACATGGGAAAGCTGATTTTTACTCATCATATTTCTGATCGCAAGAGTTTAGAGCCCCCTTTGAACACATGTCTCTGACGCCATTGCCTACGCAGCTTTCACAAATCGGCCCAGGCTCCTCCGCTTCAGAGGCCGCGGGGTGGGCATCGCCATTCCAAGATGTACACAGAGATCCGACAGAAAGGGAATTTGATTTTGGATCCGACACGTTAGGAGGTGTGGAGCCGCTATATGAGAGTGATAGGATCATTCCAAGTTACGTGGTTGATAGATTCTTGAAGCAAAACCTGCGAGCGAAAGGCTATTTTTGCGTTTTCCAGCCAACATTTGCTTTGGAGCGAGACCTGTCGATTATCGTTGACGGGCTGTTACCCCAGTCGAGTACACTAAGGGGATGGAGGGGTGGATGTATCGTCGGGCATCTGTTCGAGATGACTTGGTGGGGGACTCTGCGCTATTATGGGAAGTTCCGTGAAGAACGCGAAAAGTTCGGGAGGGACTGGGAGAACAAGTTTGGCGGATGCATCGCAGATGTTACAAATCCCACCCTTGCGTCTCTCGCCTACGTTAAGCGGCATGGGCGCACATCTGAGATGCTCGATGTGTTGAGTAAGAACGATACCGTGGGTGATACATCGTACACTTCCTCTTCTCTTTATCCTGGAAGCGGGTCCTTTTGGAGGTTGTTCGGGGAGGTCAAGACCTCAAGTCCGACAACAGAGTATTTACTCTGGATCGAGCTCCCGAGGTTAATTGCATATATCATCTCATGGGACATGATTGAGGTGAAGGACATCTTGTGGTATATAGAATCGGGGTATTGGCGCGGCACTGATTCTTATGACCGCGGTGCTATCAGTGTAAACCTGAGAATACCTGTAAGTGCGGAGGAGTGGAAGGGAAATGGCTGGAGCTACACGGAGAGGAAGGGGATGGAGGTCCTTGTGGAATAATAGCTTAGTTTGCACCGTGGGGTTTTCTCTGTTGAGTGTTGTAGGGTACGGGAAACCACCCTGGTTGTGTTGGTGATTGATGGTGTTGAGGGTAAACCCATGGATGCGCACACACATGTTAGTTTGTCTATTTAGTTAGCAGGCTCGCTCCTGAAAATTGAAGAAGAACCTTCACATCACCTCCCTGTCCAACATTCTCTAGGTGTCCGTATTTTTACTGGGCATCGGGTAGTATTTCATTCTGTACGAAAGGAGCACGAAGAATATGGGATATTTGTAGTAAGCTGGCTGATACAATAAACCGTGCTAATAAATCCGGTAAAGTCTGAGCGCTCGGAGAGAAAATAATAATAGCCACTAGGGACGAAGGAGAGTTGTGGCCCTGGTGAGTAGTTATATGGAGTGCAGGACAAGAGCTAGAGGTTCCTGATCCTGATGAACATAGCATAGTTCGGTATAGGTGTGGACGAGAGCAGAGGGGTAAAGATCGTATCATAAGGAGAAATTTGGATTTGCCATGGGAAGGTAAATTTGAACCAAGTCTCCCAACAGGCACAAATAACTGATATTACAATGGATATAAAGCAAATTAAAGGAGAAGGAACAGGAGGTGGACCACGAGTAACAGGGGAAATTAAACAGGGCGGAAAAGGAGAGAGGGAATTTAGGGAAGGAAAGGATGAGGGAGATGATGAATATCTGTGAAAAAAATTACTTGTGTCCTGTATGTTTTGTACATCTGATGCACAGGATACTCACAATGCTAATCTTTAATCAGAAGGTGATATTGGCAAGACATTATGTCTTAATTTATGTGGTACCATGTTATGTGACCCCATGATGTCCTTGTACAGACCCTTACATCTCCTGCATCTAATGAACATCCGATACACAGCTGTTGTATCTAAGTTATTGGTTTTACCAGCTACTGTGATATCAGGATGATCCCCTCTCACTCTGCCTTCTGTCATGACAAAGGATCTAACTTGTATGCTTTAATTAGATATTTCTTCTTCAATTGCATCTATTCAGATAATCTCTATACTAGTTCTACATTATCATGATTCTCTGATACTGAAGGCTCTAGTTGTGGCATTGTACTGTACAGTGTCTACATATATGTGTTCTTATGTAACAATTTTCAAGAATGGTAGCTGTTACAGAAGGTAAGATTTATATGCATACTGGAGCCAAGAGACTACTAAGTTAGGAATAGTAGTAGACTAGAGTTCACCAAAAAAAGAGATACTGATAGTTAGGTATCTCAAGTGGACAAGGTTCCACCTTATCAGAGGTACTTAGGTACCTGTAAGAAAGGAATGATTACTATATTAGATAGGGTAACCCAGGTAGTTGATTTGAGAGTTACCCTCAATCACTTAATGGTACAATAGTATAGAGTTACCCTACTTGGTAGGGTCACTTAGGGTACTATTACCCTACCTTTAAACCATAGTTACCCTGCTATAGAGTCAAGTCATCCTACCTTGAAAGTAACTTATAACGCAGGACTTTGGAGAAGTTACTAGATTGTTTGTTATGTGAAACTGCATTTAGTATTCAAATCTTAAATTACACAAATCACTCCTGCATGCGCAGTTGAGCTCTGAACAAGCTGTAACTTGAAGCTGGGATATCTAACAACCCCTCAGGCCTTTGTATAAGTCTCTAATGTTATGGGCTACAGTATAGAGAGCTGCTGTAAGCCTAGTTAAAGTTTCTAAGTAACAGCACTCCTGTAACAACATAAACTGTCTAGCCGTCCAGTAGACTAAAAGCTGTCTGTAGGATATATAGAGGGCACAGGAATAGCCTGATAATATGGTCGTCAGATAGCATTATATATATCAGACTAAGACTAATAGAGTAACAAGAAAAATCAAATAGAAGTAGTCAGAGGTCTACAGTAGGAATAACAACTACAGAAAGGTGAAATGGGTTGCCATTTCACCTTTTTGTAGTTGTCATTAGAGAGTTGTTAAAATCTTAAATTGTATGGATGTCTGGTATAGCTGATAACTACTTGTTAGGGTTTTCTATAGGTAGTACATCTTGGAACAAGCTTAAAAGAAGAGTCCGCTGTAGAGGCTTCATTGATGACTATTAGGATATGGTAAAATTAAGTAGATCCTAGTAGATGTTAAGCAGGCCATACTAAGTACATAGTGAATAAATACAAGTGGGTAGAAAGTTCAATAGTTGGTTTGACTTCTAATTGAGATAACAGTTCGCCACTGACATATTCATATTCTGTAGAACTTTTACTCTACTAGGCACATTTGAGATGCAGAAGCTAAAGTACTTTAGCCTTATGTGTAATAGAAACTTATTAGAATAAGATAGATTTCAAGGGTATGACTACACTAAAATGAATTCTTCAGGGAATAAATATAATCAAAATTTCAAAGTGTTAGCAATAGAGTTGTAGAATTAAAAATAGTAAAACTTAATATTATTAAGCCACAACTTTACTCAATTAAGTCTATGATCTCAAACGGTAGTTGATTGGCAAAGTAGAGGAGAACTTATATATACTTAAGTAGACTTCGTAAATAGTTAGGCAGAGACAACCTAGTAGACTTCAGAGTTGTCTGGGTAACCAATATTCATTTCTGTAGATGGAGATTGTCTTGAAAGGCTCAGATTTCACATGTTTTATTTATGATGACTAAGAGTGAAGTAAAGCAGGTAAAGTAGAATAGAATTGCAAAGGCAATATTATCTTGTTAATATCACTTCTCCATCACTTGATGAGGTTCAAAAGTGTGGGAGGCACTTCGATATTTATATGCTGGATCTGAGTATTCAGTTGCGTGCCTATTGTTAAATCCATCTAGTTGTAACATGCCCTCCTTGGATAGTTAGTTCTTGGCAATGGGGAACGATACTTCTCTTCTTTTGTTTCTTTTCTTAGTCTTACGATAGCACTAGACCTCTGCCTATGTTACCGAAAGTACAAGACCTCGGTCTTCTATCGGGAACGCCTATCATAAGCTTTCTCTAACTCTTCTTCGTGAAGAGCTCTCCTTAGTGTAACGATAATGTTGTAATAAAGATAAAGATCGTAAAGGTGTTGTATATTCGTTAAAGTAATATGTAGGAAAAGTACTTAGAATTCAATCTAATTTTATTTAAGCTCGTACTGCCAACACTGGCATACGACGAGCCCCAGGGCTAGGCCCACAGGTTGTCGCATCCCGGATACTACTAACTACCAACTAACTAAACCTTCAACCCCGTACCTCAAATATGCCCACGCCATGCCCACTACGAACACAAAATACAAAGCCATCAACAGTAAAGAAAAGTCCTCCTCAGTCCAGCCTACCGGTCAGCCAAGTTACTTGTACAAAATACAAAAGTTCTACTACCGCCACCTGAATGTGACCCTGTAAAAACCTCCTCCACAGTAGAAACCCACCTGAGCGCCCCCACTCAATGATCTCAAGACACCATGCTGACCACCCCAGCACCCGTCCCCATTCCCAAACAAAAGCAACACCCAACTTCCATGCACATAGACTCGAGAGAAAGCTGACTTACAGGATGAAAGGCTCCCTAGCCGATGAGGTACGGACCATCGTAGAGAATCAGAGGGGCACCACACTGGCAGCGCAGCCCAAAAACCTCGATGGAAGCAGCCAGAATGAGATAGTCCCCAAGCCGCTGGCACTTGACTGAAAAAGTCCAGGTATTCAACTTTTCCTCTAACTTCTCAGCTCACTCCGCAGGCGGTAAACCCGTTACGGACTCTGCAGTAGCCGATGACCCTTCCAAGTTGGGGACAAGTGGCAGAGGTGAGATCTGGTCTTATTTGATACAGCGCTTCTTGTTTTTCTTCCTCTTCCCACCCTCAGGCGCAGGTGTAGTAACAGGAGTAAACGGGCTACCCTTATCAACACCCACTTTCATAGGAGGGACGCCACCAGAGGTGTTACCACGACCAGCCACAGGCTCCACCCCAGAGGACTCAGACACCTGCCCCCCCGAAGGGCGTGATACCACCATGGCTGGTGTCATCACACCAGGATTCATCCCACTCGAACAAGGAGCAAGCACCTCAACCGGCTCCAACAAATCAGGAACTAGTACACCCACACCACCAACCACCACTGAAGCTGCAGGAGGGGCAGGGACAACCGGCAATGCAACATTTCTCCCAGGGAGCTTCTCCGCTTGACCATGAGAACTCGTAGGGTCTAGCCTACTGCACCCAACTGAGACCACCGTAGTAACCGATTGGACTGAGGAGACAGGAGAAGAGGGGATAAGCGTGGGAACTTCAGCTGGGAACATTGTGAGATAACCACGATTAATAGCACGTTCATACTGGAGGGCAGCCGACAAGGCAGATATCTCTTTCCCAGTACGATGAAATCGCTGAGAAAAGACAGAGAGGTGATGCCAAAGGTGAGAGACTTCAGCCTTTAGGGCGAAGTCCTTCTTGGCAGCACGAGACAGAACCACTAATGAATGTAGAGCGGACGTGGTAGAGGGGGTGGAGGCTCGCTTAGCCATTACCACTGGAAGGAGGTGACCGTAGTGAACAACCGAAAGGATAAGTAGAAGGAAGAAAAGACTTCTAGCAAATGTAGAAGGAGGTATAACAAGGAAGTCCACAAAAGTTATTCAAAGTTAAGGACTTGAAGCTTATGATGAGATAGAAATCAAGGGCTTTGATTAGATCGACACTGAACCTTCACTACCGAGATGGAGTGAAAGAAGGAGGAAAAGGACTTAGAACAAAGCATGAAGAACCTATCCTCCTTGGCCACATTGGCCTCCTTATATAGTGTTCTTCCCACCCATAGTCATATGACTCAAAGCAGTCACATATGTGAAACCAAATTATAACAAACTAGCCATATGACCAAGATTGTCACATGCTCAAAACCAATGACCTCATAGCGAGGTCATGTGCAAAAACTCATAAATCAATTATAACACAATAAACAAATCATATGACTCGACTGAGTCATATGTGTGAAACACACGACCTC